ATCGAGAAACCAAAAAATTGAAAAATGAAAAACTGATAAATCAAAAAATAGTTAAAAACTGAAAAATCTAAAAAATTCTGGATTATAGATTTCTTCGTACTGATTCTGAAAACATCGTCTGTTTCTGGTCTTCGAATAAAAATAAAAGTTCTCCGTTTGATAAACAATTTTTTTTATCCAAAAGATTGAAAAGTTCAGTTAGCGATTCTAAAACAATGGAGTAAGGTTATCGAAAAAATGGGCTTCGAAATTTGTCGCAAATTGTCCGAGATTTATATATTTTGTTATTGAACCTTTTTTTTTATGTAAAATTTTGACAAAAAAATCTAGAATATATTCTTCGGGTAAGATTAAAAATTTTCGGTTTGAAAATCAATTTTGTTTTAATCCAAAAAATGGCAATATATTATTTAAATGAGCGATTCTGGAAATATATAAAGCGCTATGGAAGAAATGAGGCCAAAACTAACTTTTGGAGTTCGAAATCCGTGAGAAAATGTGTTTACTGAAGTTTAGACAATTGGCCGAAATTTTTAAATTTATTTTTATATTGAAACATTTTATTTTTGGAAAATTTGACAGAAAAACTCAAAGAAAATCAGGATGATAGATTTTGTAATGCTGATTTCAAAAAAAAAAAAAATATCGCGTCTATGCTCTTCGGGTAAGAATAAAAATTGCAAAGTGTTTCATCACACCAAAGATTCATTAAAAATGTTCAGTCTGAATATCATTTTTTTGTATCCAAAAATTGAATAATTTAGTGAACGATTCTGGAAGAAAAGGGGCAGTTATTCAAGAAATAAAGCCGGAAGTAACTTCTGGAGTTCGAAATCCGTAAAAAATGTATTTAGTTAAATTTAGAAATTATTGAAATTTGGGCAAAATTTTTATATTTGTACTCGTATATTGAAGCGTTTTTTTTATGAAAAGTTTGCCAACAAAAAAAAAACAAAAAATTGCTGGCATTAGATTTTGTCGTGCTGATTCCAAAAAACACGGCGCGTTTGTGTTTTCCAGTTGACATTAAAAATTTTCGGTTTGAAAATCAATTTTTTTAAAATCCAAAAAATTCGAATATTTTATTGAGCTAAACTGGAAAAGTGGAAGAAGCTGTCGACGAAATGAGACCGAAACTAACTCCTGGAGGTCGAAATCTGACGAAAATGTCTTTTGTTAAATTCCGAAAATTGTAGGAAATTGGCCGAAATTTTTATATTTTTATACTGGAGCATTTTGTTTTTGAAAAAGTTGCCAAAAAAAAACAAAAAAATTCTGAATTATAGATTTCTTCGTGTTGATTCTAAAAACATCGTCTGGTTCTGCTCTTCGAATAAAAATAAACGTTCTGCGTTTGATAAACAATTTTTTTATCCAAAAGATTGAAAAGTTCAGTGAGCGATTCTAAAACAATGGAGTAAGGTTATCGAAAAAATGGGCTTCGAAATTTGTCGAAAATTGTCCGAGATTTATATATTTTGTTATTGAACCTTTTTTTTATGTAAAATTTTGACAAAAAAATCTAAAATATATTCTTCCGGTAAGATTAAAAGTTTTCGGTTTGAAAATCAATTTTGTTTTAATCCAAAAAATGGCAATATATTATTTAAATGAGCGATTCTGGAAATATATAAAGCGCTATGGAAGAAATGAGGCCAAAACTAACTTTTTCAGTTCGAAATCTGTGAGAAAATATTTTTACTGAAGTTTCGACAATTGGCCGAAATTTTTATATTTATTTTTATATTGAAACATTTTATTTTCGAAAAATTTGACAGAAAAACCCAAAAAAATTCTGGATTATAGATCTTGTAATGCCAATTTCAAAAAAACAAAAAAATAGCGCGTCTATGTTCTTCGGGTAAGAATAAAAATTGCAAAGTGTTTAATCACACCAAAGATTCATTAAAAATGTTCAGCCTGAATATAATTTTTTTTATCCAAAAATTGAATAATTTAGTGAACGGTTCTGGAAGAAGAGGGGGAGTTATTCAAGAAATAAAGCCGGAAGTAACTTCTGGAGTTCAAAATCCGTAAAAAATGTCTTTAGTTAAATTTAGAAATTATTGAAATTTGGGCAAAATTTTTAGATTTGTACTCGTATATTGAAGCGTTTTTTTTCTGAAAAATTTGCCAACAAAAAAACAAAAAATTGCTGGCATTAGATTTTGTCGTGCTGATTCCAAAAAACACAGCGCGTTTGTGTTTTCCAGTTGACATTAAAAATTTTCGGTTTGAAAATCAATTTTTTTAAAATCCAAAAAATTCGAATATTTTATTGAGCTATTCTGGAAAAGTGGAAGAAGCTGTTGACGAAATGAGACCGAAACAAACTTCTGGAGGTCGAAATCCGACGAAAATGTCTTTTGTTAAATTCCGAAAATTGTAGGAAATTGGCCGAAATTTTTATATTTTATGCTGACATATTTTGTTCTTGAAAAAGTTACCAAAAAAACCAAAAACATTCTGTATTATAGATTTCTTCGTGCTGATTCTAGAAACATCGTCTGTTTCTGCTCTTCGAATAAAAATGAAAGTTCTCCGTTTGATAAACAATTTTTTTTACTAAAAAATTGAAACGTTCAGTGAGCGATTCTAAAACAATGGAGTAAGGTTATCGAAAAAATGAGCTTCGAAATTTGTCGAAAATTGTCGGAGATTTCTATATTTTGTTTTTGGAACTTTCTTTTTTTGAAAAATTTTGAGAAAAAAAATCTACATTATATTCTTCGGGGAAGATTAAAAATTTTCGGTTTAAAAATCATTTTTTTTAATCTAAAAAATGGCAATATATTATTTTAATTAACGATTCTGGAAAAATATGAGGAGCTATGGAAGAAATGAAGCCAAAACTAAGTTTTGCAGTTCGAAATTCGTAAGAAAATGTGTTTACTGAAGTTTCGATAATTAGCAGGAATTTTTATATTTATTTTTATATTGAAACATTTTATTTTTGAAAAATTTGACAGAAAAACCCAAAAAAATTCTGGATTATAGATTTTGTAATGCTGATATAAAAGAAAATAAGGCGTCTATGTTTTTCGGGTAAGATTAAAAATTGCAAAGTGTTTAATCACACCGAAGATTCATTAAAAATGTTCAGTCTGTATATCAATTTTTTTTTATCCAAAAAATTGCGATAATTTAGTGAACGATTCTGGAAGAATGGGGGAACTATTGAAGAAATGAAGCCGAAAGTAACTTCTGGAGTTCGAAATCCGTAAAAAATGTCGTTAGTTAAATTTAGAAATTATTAAAATTTAGCCAAAATTTTTATATTTATACTCGTATATTGAAGCGATTTGTTTCTGAAAAATTTGCTAACAAAAAAAAAACAAAAATTGCTGGCATATTGATTTTGTCCTGCTGATTCCAAAAAACACAGCGCGTTTGTGTTTTCCAGTTGACATTAATAAAAATTTTCGGTTTGAAAATCAATGTTTTTTAAATCTAAAAAATTCCAATATTTTATTGAGCTATTTTGGAAAAGTGGAAGAAGCTGTCGACGAAATGAGACCGAAACTAACTTCTGGAGGTCGAAATCCGACGAAAATGACTTTGGTTAAATTCCGAAAATTGTAGGAAATTGGCCGAAATTTTTATATTTTTATACTGGAGCATTTTGTTTTTGAACAAGTTGCCAAAAAAAAAAAACAAAAAAATTCTGAATTATAGATTTCTTCGTGTTGATTCTAAAAACATCGTCTGGTTCTGCTCTTCGAATAAAAATAAAGGTTCTCCGTTTGATAAACAATTTTTTTTATCCAAATTATTAAAAAGTAACTTCTAGGGTTAGAAATTCGTAAGAAAATGTCTTTAGTTAAATTTCGCAATTTGTCGAAAATTGTCCGAGATCTCTATATTTTTTTTATTGAAACTTTTTTTGAAAAATTTTTACAAAAAAATCCAGATTATATCCTTCAGGTAAGATTAAAAAATTTCGGTTTGAAAATCTTTTTTTTTAACCCAGAAATTTGAAATATTTTAGTGAGCGATTCAGGAACAATGCAGGAAGGTTTCAGAAGGACCGAGGAAAAAAGTAAATTCTGGTCTTTGATATCCGTAAGAAAATGTCTAGTGAAATTTTGAAAGTTGTCTAAAATTGGCCGAAATTTTTTTAGTTTCATATTGAAACACTTGTTTTTGAAAAATTTGATAAAAAAAAAACAAACAAATTCTGGGTTATGGATTTCATCGTGCTGATTCTAAAAACATCGTGCGTTTCTGCTCTCCGGATAAGATTAAACATTTCCCGTTTGAGTATCAATTTTTTTAATCCAAAAAATTGAAAAATTTGACTAAAAAAACCAAAATAATTCTGAATTATAGATTTTGTCGTGGTGATCCCAAAAGCATAACTGGGTAAGATTTAAAATTTTCGATTTGAAATTTTTTGTTTAATCCAAAAAATTGTAATATTTTTAGTAAGCGATTTTGGAACAACAGAGGGAGCTACAAAACAATGCCGAAAGTGACTTGTAAGAAAATGTTTTTGGTTAAGTTTCGAAAATTGACCGAAATTTTTATATTTTTATTTTTTTGAAAAATTTGACACAAGAAACTCTAAAAAAATCTGGCTTTAAGATATCATCGTGCTGACTCCAAAAACGTTTTATATTCTCTGGGTAAGATTAAAAATTTTCGATTTGAAAATAAATTTTTTTAAAATACAAAAATTGCAATATTTAATTAAGCGATTCTGGAATAATGAAGGGAGTCATCGAAAAAAATGAGGCCAAATGTAACTTCTGGAGTTCGAAATCCGTAAGAAAATGTTTCTAGTTAAGTTTTGAAACTTGCCGAAAATTGGCCGAAATTTTTATGTTTATATAGAAACATATTATTTTTGAAAAATTTGCCAAAAACACTAAAAAAGTTCTAAAAGGATAAGATTAAAAATTTTCAGTTTGATCATCAATGGAGGAAGCTATCGAAAAAATCAGTTCATCCAACTTAAAGAAAAAATATCAAAGCCTACTTTACTATATAAACATCGTGAATTGATAATATTGTACCATTTAATACATAATATAATATACAAAATAAATAAAAAATAACACTAAGTAAAATTCATGTCCATTACATGCCCGTACGCGCAAATACACGCCGTAGGAAACCAGAACACATCCCACACCGGCTTTCCCTCCCCGTCGGCCACCAATAGCAACGCGTCACTGTATTTTTGCACACACTTAGTCCTAACCCCTCTCGGAAATTCTTGCAAGTGAGTACAAGAAGTCTCACCAACGCATTCCTCCGTTGTAATTTCTTGTTTATATTTGTCGAAATTATAAACAAACTTGCATTCGTTCTTCGAATTGCAGGCAACTTTGGGGTGGTACCTCGTGGTTCGAGACACGCAAATGAGGTTTTCTTTGTCGGGATGAAATCTTTCGGCGAGATGGTCTTGGTCTGAGTAATGAAAGTACTCTTTCTCGTAGGTACTGTTTCGAAGGTGTGGGTAAAACAGGTGTTCCGGGTACATTGTTACGTCTTCGCAGAATGTTCGGTTGTTGGTGCAGTGAGGAACGTAAGTTGCTAGAGTGTCGGAATCGTCAGGGAAAATTATGTCGTGGGTGGTACCTGAAACGGAATGAAGTTTACTTATTTTAAAAACTGAAGGTAATTTTTTTAGAAACACCTACCTTTTTGTAGTGGAATTGCCTCAGAAAAACTTGCAAGAAAGCAAAAACAGAAAATAATATTGAAAGACATGCTTGCGTCGTCGTGTTTAAAACTGAAGTGAGTAGTTTGGTTGTCGAAACTACCTGATTCGAGTCCACCCCACCCCCCATGGAACCGTAAGTTGGAGAGAATAAGACATAGTAAGAGTGAAAGAAAAATATACCACTACACAGTTTCCTCGTTATTTTCAAAAGTGATTTCAAAAGTGATTCTCGGAAAGTAAAAACGAGTTTCCGCTGTAAAAACATTTGTTGTAACTACATTATTTATTACTGGCTGACTGATGTCTTACTTATTGAATTTGTTCTCGTGTGGAACTTCCAGTGTCCGAATTTTGCTGAAACATGCAAATTTAAAAGGATTTGGGGATAAACGAATCTCATTAAAAACTTTTTCGAGCAATAGTTTGACGGAGACTTCTCACATTCCCTGAATATAGAATTATTTCTAATCAGATCGCGAACTTTTATGTGTCCTTTTACAAACTGGGAAACGTAATTTACATTTTTTTTTACTTTACGAGCAATAACTAAATACTGTGGTGTCACTGTGGTGGTTAAATTTACGAAAATTAATGTTCTGCTAAAATATTGAAAAATTGATTTGATTTTTAAATCGAATTTTTTTTATCTTTTCCATAAACAAGTTTTTGGAATTGTTTTTTTGGCGAATTTTTAAAAAACAAAATGTTTCAATAAGAAACTTAACACTACGTTTTTGGGACCAGCACGACGAATTGTTGTTGTTTTTTGGGAAATTTTTCATAAATAAAATGTATAACAATATAAAAGTTCCGGCCAATTTTCCACAGTTTTCGAAATTTAACTGAAGACATACTTTCGGCCTCATTTTTTCGATAACCTTCCCCCATTGTTGCAAAATCGCTCACTAAAATATTTCAACTTTTTGGAATAAAAAAAAATGATTATCAAACTGAAAATTTTTAATCTTATCCTTTTAGAACTTTGTTTGGGTTTTTGGCAAATTTTTCAAAAACAAAATGTTTCAATATAAACATAAAAATTTCGGCCAATTTTCGGCAAGTTTCAAAATTTAACTAGAAACATTTTCTTACGGATTTCGAACTCCAGAAGTTACATTTGGCCTCATTTTTTCGATAACTCCCTCCATTATTCCAGAATCGCTAACTAAAATATTGCAATTTTTGTATTTTAAAAAAATTGATTTTCAAATTGAAAATTTTTAATCTTACCCAGAGAATATAAAACGTTTTTGGGGTTAGCAAGATGATATCTTAAAGCCAGATTTTTTTGAGTTTCTTGTATCAAATTTTTCAAAAAAATAAAAATATAAAAATTTCGGTCAGTTTTCGAAACTTAACCAAAAACATTGTCTTCCAAGTTAATTTCGGCATTGTTTTGATAGCTCCCTCTGTTGTTCCAAAATCGCTTGCTAAAAAATATTGCAATTTTTTGGATTAAAAAAAATTTTCAAAACGAAAATTTTAAATCTCACCCGGTTACGCTTTTGGAATCACCACGACAAAATCTATAATTCGGAATTTTTTTGGTTTTTTTAGTCAAATTTTTCAATTTTTGGATTAAAAAAATTGGTAATCAAGCTGGAAATATTTAATGTTATCCGGAGAGCAGAAACGCACGATGTTTTTAGAATCAGCACGATGAAATCCATAACCCAGAATTTGTTTGTTTTTTTTTGTCAAATTTTTCAAAAACAAATGATTCAATATGAAACTAAATAAATTTCGGCCAATTTTAGACAACTTTCAAAATTTCACTAGAGATATTTTCCTACGGATATCAAAGACCAGAAGTTACTTTCTACCTCGGTCCTTCTCTAACCTTCCTGCATTGTTCCTGAATCGCTCACTAAAATATTTCAACTTTCTAAGTTAAAAAAAACAGATTTTCAAACAGAAAATTTTTAATCTTACCCGAAGAATATAATCTAGACTTTTTTGTCAAAATTTTTCAAAAAAAAAGTTTCAATAAAAAAAATATAGAGATCTAGGACAATTTTCGATAAATTTCGAAACTTAACTAAAGACATTTTCTTACGAATTTCTAACCCTAGAAGTTACTTCGGTCTCATTTTTTCGATAACCTTACTCCATTGTTTTAGAATCGCTCAGTGAACTTTTTAATATTTTGGATAAAAAAAGTTGTTTATCAACCGGAGAACTTTTATTTTTATTCGAAGGTCAGAAACAGACGACGTTTTTAGAATCAGTACGAAGAGATCTATAATCCAGAACTTCTTTGGGTCTTTTTGTCAATTTTTTAAAAACAAAATATTTCAATACAAAAATTTTGGTAAATTTTCCATAATTTTAGAAATTTAATCAAAGATATTTTCTTAGGGATTTAGAGGTCTCATTTCTTCGACAGCTATCTCCATTGTTTCAGAATCGCTCACTAGAATATCGTAAATTTTTAGACTTGACAAAAACTGATTTTCAAATCGAAAATTTTTAATCCTACCCAGAGAACATAAACAAGTTTTTGGAATCAGGACATCTACATGTCAGAATTTCTGTTGTTCTTTTTTGGCAAATTTAAATTTTTAAAAAACAAAATGTTTCAATACAAAAAAATCGGCCAATTTTCACATTTTTTAAAACTTAACACTACGTTTTTGGGATCAGCACGAAGCATTTTTGTTGTTTTTTGGGAAATTCTTCATAAATAAAATGTGTTAGTATAACAACATAAAAGTTTCGGCCAATTTTCCACAGTTTTCGAAATTTAACTGAAGACATAATTTCGGCCTCATTTTTTCGATAACCTTCCCCCATTGTTTCAAAATCTCTCACTAAAATATTTCAACTTTTTGGAATAAAAAAAAATGATCATAAAACTGAAAATTTTTAATCTTATCCTTTTAGAACTTTTTTGAGTTTTTGGCAAATTTTTCAAAAACAAAATGTTTCAATATAAACATAAAAATTTCGGCCAATTTTCGGCAAGTTTCAAAATTTAACTAGAAACATTTTCTTACGGATTTCAAACTCCAGAAGTTACATTTGGCCTCATTTTTTCGATAACTCCCTCCATTATTTTAGAATCGCTTAATAAAATATTGCAATTTTTGTATTTTAAAAAAATTGTTTTTCAAATCGAAAATTTTTAATCTTACCCAGAGAACATAAAACGTTTTTGGAGTCAGCACGATGATATCTTAAAACCAGATTTTTTTTGAGTTACTTCTATCAAATTTCTCAAAACAATAAAAATATAAAAATTTCGGTCAATTTTCGAAGCTTAACCAAAAACATTTTCTTACAAGTTACTTTCGGCATTGTTTTCATAGCTCCTTCTGTTGTTCCAAAATCGCTTACTAAAAAATATTGCAATTTTCTGGATCAAAAAAAATTTTCAAATCGAAAATTTTAAATCTTACCCGGTTATGCTTTTGGAATCACCACGACAAAATCTATAATTCAGAATTTTTTTGTTTTTTTTAGTCAAATTTTTCAATTTTTTGGATTAAAAAAATTGGTAATCAAGCCGGAAATGTTTAATCTTATCCGGAGAGCAGAAACACACGATGTTTTTAGAATCAGCACTATGAAATCCATAACCCAGAATTTGTTTGGTTTTTTTTGTCAAATTTTTCAAAAACGAATGATTCAATATGAAACTAAATAAATTTCGGCCAATTTTAGACAACTTTCAAAATTTCACTAGAGACATTTTCCTACGGATATCAAAGACCAGAAGTAACTTTCTACCTCGGTCCTTCTCTAACCTTCCTGCATTGTTCCTGAATCGCTCACTAAAATATTTCAACTTTCTAAGTTAAAAAAACAGATTTTCAAACAGAAAATGTTTAATCTTACCCGAAGAATATAATCTAGACTTTTTTGTCAAAATTTTTCAAAAAAAAAGTTTCAATAAAAAAAATATAGAGATGTCAGACAATTTTCGATAAATTTCGAAACTTAACTAAAGACATTTTCTTACGAATTTCTAACCCTAGAAGTTACTTTCGGTCTCATTTTTTTGATAACCTTACTCCATTGTTTTAGAATCGCTCAGTGAACTTTTTAAAATTTTGGATAAAAAAAGTTGTTTATCAACCGGAGAACTTTTATTTTTATTCGAAGGTCAGAAACATACGACGTTTTTAGAATCAGTACGAAGAGATCTATAATCCAGAACTTCTTTGGGTCTTTTTGTCAATTTTTTAAAAACAAAATATTTCAATACAAAAATTTTGGTAAATTTTCCATAATTTTAGAAATTTAATCAAAGACATTTTCTTAGGGATTTAGAGGTCTCATTTCTTCGACAGCTATCTCCATTGTTTCAGAATCGCTCAGTAGAATATCGTAAATTTTTAGACTTGACAAAAACTGATTTTCAAATCGAAAATTTTTAATCCTACCCAGAGAACATTAATAAGATTTTGGAATCAGCACATATACATGTCAGAATTTCTGTTGTTCTTTTTTAGGAAATTTAAATTTTTAGAAAACAAAATGTTTCAATACTAAAATACAAAAAAATCGGCCAATTTTCAATTTTTGTTGTTTTTTGGGAAGTTTTTCAAAAATAAAATGTGTTAGTATAAAAATAAAAAAATTCGGCCAATTTTCCACAGTTTTCGAAATTTAACCAAAGACATTTTCATACGGATTTTGAATTCCAGAAGTTATTTTTGGCTTCATTTTTTCAATAGCTCCCCCCATTCTTCCAGAATTGTTCACTAAATCATTGCAATTTTTTGGATTAAAAAAAAGATTTTCAGACTGATAATTTTTGATCTGCGATGGGACTAAACACTTTACACTTTTTCAAGCTACTAGATTAAATGGAAAATTTTTGAGAAATTTTACTAAATTACTTTTTTATTATTGACTTTTTGATTTTGAGAATTTTAAAACTTACCCGGTTACGTTTTTAGAATCACCACCACAAAATCTATAATTCAGAAATGTTTTGGTTCTTTTAGTCAAATTCTTCACATACAAAATGTGTCAATATACAAATATAAAAATTTTGACTTTTTCTTACGGATTTCGGACTCCAGAAGTTACTTTCGACCTCATTTCTCCGCTAGCTCCCTCTATTCTTTCAGAATTGCCGACGAAAACACTAATTTTTTTGGATTTTCAAAAAATTAATTTTCAGACTAAAAATTTTTACTTTCATCTGTGTTTTTGGACTCCGCACGACGAAATCTATATGCCAGAATTTTTTTGGGAAATTTTTAAGTAAACAAAATGTTTCAAATTAAAAAATATACAAAATTCGGCTAATTTTCGACAATTTTCGAAATTTAACCGAAGTCATTTTTATACGGACTTTGAAGTTATTTTTGGCTTGATTTATACAATAGCTTCCCCAATTTTTC